GCCATGGATTTTGCATGGTTAAAATGTTGATGTATACTACTCCCTCCGTTCGGAATTACTTGTCTCGGAAGTGGATGTATCTAGATCTAATATACGTCTAGATACATCCATTTCTGCGACAAGTAATTCCGAACGGAGGGAGTACGTGGGTTAGTATACAAGTACCTCTTCATTCCGAGCATAACTTTGACCATTGATTTTACTAAAAGTTTATTCAAAAAGTTCAAGAAAACATATGTATATGATAAACAAAATATACTACTCCCTTGTATTGGAGGGAATATTATGATTATTTTGATATGCTTCCTGCAGCATGTAGTTTACATTTTCTTTATTAACTCAAAGAAGGCTCGGAGGAACATAGTTTCTGATTAAAATTTACACGATAGTATAAAACTTAACAGCGAACCAACATGTGGTTGGATGGTTAGAAGGACAATGATATTCTCAGTCCATAAAGTTTGAAGCGCTAGACTTGACACTGGTGCTCGCATTTTTCTGGATTTTCTTTAGGTCTTTCGGTGATATGCGTTCGGTGGAAGGAGATGTCTCCGTCGACTACGAAAACATCTGTGGCGACTTCGTCAATCTCAAGACGATTTACCAGCCCAGAAAGGTAGGATGTGCATGCGTATGTTCATAGAAGTGAGTATATATGTGTGTTTATAAGCGTCTACATATGTACTGTGTTAAAGAAATACGAAACTTAACAATGTATCAAGGCATTTTCCTCTAAAAAAAACTTAACGTATATCATCGAAAATATGTTTGCCGGTAGTGTCCTGTTATATTTTTGCAGAACACTAAGGGCATGTACAATGGTTCTATCTTAACAATGCCACGTAAGATAAATGATGAGATGGAGGAGAGAGAAATCATAAGAAAAGGTTTGTCTTCTCTTATTTAAAAGACAAGAGATGATCTTTTAGCACAATTTGTCTCATAACATTTTTAGGAATAGCTAGTTATTTAAGATAAAACTAAGATATAACCCACTGTAGATATGTTTTTTTGTCTTCTCTAAATTACATGTAAAATTTAAGATAAGACTTGCCGTAAAAAAAATTTAAGATAAGACTATCTTATCAGTCATTGTACATGCCCTAAGACCCAAGATGAGGCACCGAATGCACGAGGAGGAACAAAACGGGCCTAATCCCAAATCAACCGACGCGTAGGAAGCCCTATATGTTCGCCGCAACTGGACAAATATTGGGCTGTGTTGGCCCAGACTACGCCAAAAAGGTTGATCCTTAGGGTCTGTTTAGTGTTGCTCCGTTTCATTAATAATCAAATTCTAAAAAGGGTCAGTTTCATGTCTAAAAAAATCAAAATCAGTTTCACTCTATTAAATTCATTTTAAACGAGTTTCGTACAGAAGTTGCAGTTTTATGAAAGAGCAGCTTATCATGTTTGTCTTTCAGCTTCATCGCAAAAAATAAAATGTTTGTCTTTCAGCTAGCTCTAGCTTCAAGAATAAGAAATTTGATGAAAAATATCTATTTGAGTAGACAACTTGAGAAAAACGAAGAAGTGTCCATTTATTGATGACAGTGGTGGGTAATTTTCCCTCAACTCGAGCTTCTACAGTTTGAAGCCCCGTGTAGAGCTTCACAAAAAAAAGATGATGTATCCCAGATTCTTATTTTTTTGCGAAGTGTCATATGGTGCAACTACCCTGTTTGACTTGTAATTTCTAGAGCGGAGCTGGATTTTAGGGAGCAAAGCAGTTCTATACATGCCTTATAATTTTTTTAACCCTTAATTTATTTACTTAGAGCATCTCCAACAGTTCTCTTTATCCCAAATAAAATCTTTGTATTGGAGGAGTTGAGCCAAACAACAGCTTGAATAGTCCCCTTTCCTCAATAATTTTTTAGTGACCACCGAAAAGGTAACCCATATTCCCCTATTTGAAGGGAGAGTTGGCCCTCTCCCGATCCAATCCTCAATTCTTTCACGTCAGCACACCGGCGGCATTTCATCGCGCTACAGCCCACCGTCGCCATCCCAGCCACCGAAAGTCGTCGGATCACATCGGTCACTTTGACAGACCGCCACCGTCGCACATAGTTAGATCGCCACCGCAAATCGTCATACCGCCACCGCCCGTCACCACCCACAGGCCACCTCTGCGGCCGCATATTGATCGGACCATCGTCGCGCCGCCACATTGTGTCGCCGCCCACCGGTCGTTGTCGGTAGCTTGTATCACGTATGTCAGGTTGATAAGTGGGCCCCTTATGTCAGTTTGGTTCTGGGGTTGAGGTTATTGGGGATCTGTCGAAGCGTTCATCCCCAATAACTAAAAAAGTGCTATCGGGAGCCCTAATAAGTTGTAATTGAGGAAGGTTTTTTGGGTGATTTGTTGGAGATGCTTTTAAGAAGTTGTTTTTACTCCCTCCGTTTTTATTTACTTTGCATATTAGAGTTGACTGAAGTCAAACTTCGTAAAATTTGACCAAGTTTATAGAAAACAATATAGACATTTATCATAATAAATCTATACGATGTGAAAGTACATTTAATAATAAATCTAATGTTGTTGATTTGTTACTGTATATCTTAATATTTTTTATATAAACTTGATCAAAGTTTGTAAAGCTTGACTTTGACCAAAGCTAATATGCAAACTAAATAAAAACGAAGAGAGTATTTTTCATACTTATTTTTTTCCTTAGTGAGACTTTTCATTTATTCATAATCAATCATAACAGTACAACAAACGTCAGAGATAACAAAAAAATCTTGAGATTGACGAAGTCATTATATGCGACGCCTCATAATCAATGAAAAATGTCTTCTTTCATTGAACAAACATCACCAAAAAGTCTAAAATAATTCCAAAAAATGCAACCACCAGTACAAAGCTAAGGACTTGAACCCTGATGGATAGGTTCCACCACAAAGAACATGCACATATGCCACCTTATCAACTCCACTAATTTTTTTATCCCAATATGCATGCATGAAAAATGCTACTTATACTAATTCCCTTAACACACGTACGCATCCTATTATTGGCCTCACTACTTTTTTTGCGTGAAACTTTTGATCTATTCATCCTTAATCATGGCAGTATAACAAACACTAAAAATAATAAAAATTACATCCAGATCCGTAGACCACCTAGCAACGACTAAAGCACCGAAGCGAGTCGAAGGCGTGCCGCCGTCATCGCCCCTACCTCGCCGGAGCCATACACAACTTGTTGTAGTAAACAGTCGGAAAGTTGTCATGCTAAGGCCTTATAGGACCAACGCACCAGAACAACAACCGTCGCCGATGAAGAGAAGTGTAGATCGAAAAGATCCAACCTAAAGACACACGAATAAAGAAGAACAAAGAACGGATCCGAGCAGATCAACCAAAGACAACCACCGACCGAATCCCGCGAGATCCGGCAGAGACACACCCCCACACGCCTCCGGACGATGCTAGGCACACCAGTAGGACAGGGGCTAGGCTGGGTGAATTTTATTCTAACTTCAGGAAGCCGTCGATGTCTTGTCTTTCTGAGCAGAACACAAATCCTAACCAAACTTGAAGTAACACCTAAGAACGGAACCCTTCCACCGGCAAGGGATGGGATCCACCACGCACTTATGACCCTAAAGCAACAGGAGACGTGGCAAATCGGCGGCTCCGCTACCGGGAGGCAGAAACCCTTGTTGCCTTTCCTTGAGAGGAGAGACAAAGGGAGGACGGACGGGCGTGGTGTCACTACTTTTATATCTCCCTGTGTGCATAAATAGTACTCGTATTTTATAAATATTCCCTTCGTTTCTAAATATAAGTCTTTTTAGAGATTTCAATATGAATATATATATATAAATGGATTTTAGAGTGTAAATTCATTCATTTTGCTTCGTATAAAGTCCATATTAGAATTTTTTAAAAGGTTTATATTTAGGAACGGAGGAAGTATATAATAATCAAATACAATAAATCATAGTATGTATATTTTTTAACCTTTGATCTCAAATTTAAATTCTAAGACAATTAAATCTCGTTAAAATAATATATTGCAAATGTCAACATCTATTCCCTCCGTCCCAAAATAAATGTAGTTGATTTATATTTATTTTGGGACGGAGAGAGTATGTTGAGTCGGCCATGTTCATGGGCGCATTTTGTTCTTTGAGAACTTCGTGGGCGGGGCTAGTAGCTCTTGCGGTTGCTGGAGCCTGGAGGAGTCTCCACGCCGCGCCCGCGGAACGCAACGCGCCAGAAGACGGGCAGGATGCCCTTTGTCCACCCCCAGCCGCCGCTGCACATATTCTTCGTGGATCGCCGCTGCACCGATTCCGCCTCCGGGCCGCCACTCCCCGCGCAACCGGAGAGACGAAACCATCGGCTCCTGCCACAGATTGCGCACACTACCAGTGCTAGCCTTAGCCTGTCTCTTCAGGTTCTTGTTCGAACCAATGTGCCTCTTCGCTTCCTGTATGTTCCGCTTCACTCTGTTTGACTCTGTTCGGTGCGATTCAATTCTCTGGAGGGGGCGTGTGTTTGCGTTCGTCATGGCACTCAGTTTTAACTTTCTACCTTACCGGTGCATCTCCTGTGAGCCTGATATTGATAATGTTATTTTTGTAAAATTCAGGATGTCATAGGCTCACATCATAGAAGGTGCCGAACTTTTCTTTTTCCTCATCTTATTCGTAGACTCACATCAGATACTTTTTTTTAGGGGATCACATCAGATACATACATACATGCAACACACACCACCCACCCGTCGTGCCGCTGGAGAGCTGAACCGAACGGCAGGACGGGCTGGCTATTCTTTCTGCAGTTCTACTCTGTTCTAGGCCTCTAGGGGCATATGCTATTGCTATAGCTGAAAGCAACAGCTCAAGGGAAGCACACATACACACGACACGCATATATAAATCGCACATGTACTACTACCAGTACGTTAGGTACGTAGCTCGGCTCGGATGGTTCGTCGGTCGGTCGATCGGTCGGCCGTCGTCTGGACCGCGTACGTGTTTCGATCAGCTCACGAATATGATGGACGGGTCGCAGCAGCACTCGTCGACGAGGCAGCAGCAGCACAGAGCAGCCAGGCTATTCGTACGTAGTTTGCGGGCATGCAAGCACAGAGCACCTCAGATTAGCACTGCCCACATAGTTTACGCAGAGGAAATTAAGAAAAACCGTCAGGTTCGTAGCTTTTTATTACCATCCTTCGAGGAATCCCGTCTGCCGTCTCGGCGGCGGGGCGTACTGCGGCGGCGCCATCACCGGCGGTCCGTTGTAATACCCTGCATGTGCGCGCGCGTTCCAGTTTCAGTTTCATGCAAGGCAGTGAGCGTGAGCAAACAAGAAGGGGAAAAGGGAAATGGAATGCAAGAAACACAAACATATAATCGTCTATCTATCATGCGTGGGAGTTACCTTGGTTGTGTGGGTACGAGTACCCGTACCTTCGGTCACTCATGTTGGTCACTGACTATGAACTATGAACCCTAGCTGCAGATGGCTGCCTGCTAGCAGAAGTGGACCGGCCGGTGCTGGACCTAGAGGGAGTATAAATAGCGGCTGCAAACCGAAGATCAAGTGGCCTGCTAGTATATTTTTGCCGTGGATTGCACTTTTAGTGGCGCTTCTGAAACATTCGGCGCGCCGCTGTCGGCAGCTCATCGATCCTAGGCGGCAGCGAGGGGAAACGAATAAAGCTACTCGATCGTTATCCGATTATTATCTGTTTGCTTCCTTTTAATTCCGCCCTTCCTTTTTGACCTTCCGTGGATTATTCCTGCCTTTAACTTCAAGCAAATGGGGGCATCATATTCATACGATTGAACTCTATCTCTGCTTGCTGTCGCTATTTACAATTACAGTAGTTATCTAACAAGCGCTAGGGATCGATGCTAATGCGCCACCTTGTAATGTGAACGGCACAACTCGGTAACCAGCATCAGACACCAAAGACGCTGGGAATCTAAACCTCTGCATGCAACGCGAGCTACGATCTTCTTCTTCTTCGTTGGTAAGAGGCAGGTAAAGCGACGTTGCCAACTCGAGACGGCGAGACGAGGAGAATGCATGGTCCGGTTAAATCATCAGAAATCGGTCGACGATTCAAGGGTAGATGCTGGGTTCTTTGTTTCTTTTGCACGATTCGTAGCAACCAGATCGCCCTTCTCTAGAGTTTTCTGTGTCTATGCCGCCCTTCCAGCAGGCACACGGGAGTGACGCGTGGTGCACAACCGTGAAACCTAAGCATAAGGGTTCAGATAACCGTCTGCATTTGCAGTTGCAGGTTGCCAGAATTCAGAAACTGTAGGGGATATCGCCACCTTTGAGGAAAAACTAAAGGAAAATCGGCAGGAACGCAGGTTTGTAGCGACTACCATCTCTTCGTAGGAAATGTACCTGACAGATTTCCGAGACATCGACATCATTGTGTGGCTTCAGGATCCGGCTTGCCTGCTCTCTTTTCATGCTCTCATCCGTGCTTCCACTTCATCCTACAGCTGTCTTTTTTTCCTTTTTCTTTTTTAATCTAATCATCTCTCCCCCCCTGATTTTAAAGGGTGGGGCCGAGCCTTATTTTGTTTCAATCAAATCAAACCATGTATGTGGGAGCACGGATGGGCGCACGTGCAGGGAGCAGGCAAGTCTCATCCGTGGCTTCAACGACAAACTGATCGATAGAAGCATATTTGCTTTAGGTACTTTTTTAGTGTCTTGGTTGGGACGGTGATGCGGCAACGGCGTCCCAAAGTTAGAATAATATCCTCCGGTCATATCCCCGCTCTAGTGGTGCACCTAGCACTGACGAAGGGCGTGCGGATATGTGTCCTCCGCAAGGCCGTTTGGATTTGATTGGGCCTCTTTTCCGTTGGTGTCTTTGTAGGGTTAATAAGGTGGCCCGTGGCATGTTCATAAGCATCCAGAATATTTTGGACATGTGTAGCCTCTTGGTTACAAGCTTTAAAGAACAACAAAGTATCATTCACAAATAGCAAATGAGATATATCAATAGCTCTTCCTGTAATTTTTAGCGGGAAATATTGACAATTCAATACCTTGATTTATCAGAGCAGAGAGACCATTAACAACAAACAGAAACAAATATGGGGATGAAGGGTCACCTTGCAGAAGCCTACACATCGGTGCAAAAGAATCCAAGATGGCTCCATCAATTTTTACGTGGTATCTCACTGAGATCACACAAGTCATTATCCAACTAACCCATTGGTGAGAGAAGCCAAGTTTTTGCATCATTTGTTTAAGGTAGGACCAATCAACTCGAACATATACTTTCGATGATTTCTGTACTACTATTGCATGCCAATAATAAATCAGAGGATTTTTAGAAGAAAAAATTGAAACAACTCCTCTATGAACAAATAAAGTCCGCCAAACTTTAGTTGATTCTAAGCAAAATTATATTGGGAAGGTTTAATTAAATTCTGAATACCGAAGTTGAAATCCATACATCCAACTAACACCTCTAGTATCCGCGTCTGTATATGTACACACACATACTACTAACACCGCTAGCCAACGGGTCTAATCTTTTACTCTTTTTTCACGAACCAACATGTGGTTGGATGGTTAGAAGGACAGTGATATCTCCAGCCCAATAGGGTTCAAATCCTGGTGCTCGTATTATTTCTGAATTAATTTCAGGATTTCCGGCGATGCGCTTTCAGTGAAAGGAGATGTTCCCATCGACGATGAGGCGTCTATGGTGACTTCGTAAATCTCAAGATGATATGTCGGCCCAGTTTCTCGGAGGTGGTCATAGGGATATGATGTGTATGTACTTTTAGTGTCAAAGTCTCATGCATCCATTTTTATCGCCTGAACTGGGTCATAACCATCCCTATCATGTGTCCAATTATTCCTTTGAGGTCCAGATGAAGTGCATAATGGTGATGATCTTGCACCTTGTGTCATCATTGAACATGTGATCAAGCAAGATGTCTCTAGCCCATGTATCTGTATGTAGTCTCGGTAAGGTGAACTCGAACCGATCCTTGGCAGCAATCCAAAATTTCTTGGCATGCATGCATTCAAGCGCATGCTTGAGGTCCTCATTCATAGCTTTGCATATATCGCAAATGCCTAGAGTTTTGAAGTGTCGGTACTGCAAGGTGACCGAGTTTGGGAGAATAGCACGCAACACTCTCCGCCAAAAAACTCTGACCTTTGGTATCACGTGAAGCTTCCACAGAGCAGTCCACAGCTGTTTATTTGACGGTGATGATTCTGTGTTTTGTCCCTTCATCTAGAGAGCCAAGCTCGTTACGAGTCATAAGAGAACGATACATGGATTTTACAGAGTAGATGCCCGATTTTTCAAGAGCCCAAGCTAGTGAGTCCTCTCCTCCCACAGAGTTTAAAGGGATGTTCAGTATAGCCTCGGCGTCAGGGTGAAAGAAATTTTGTCGCACAACATCTACATTCCAATTCCTTGTGTAGTTGTCAATCAAATCTGAAACTCTAGGGAGCTGAGCAACACCGGTGCGCCCCATTGGCTTCATAGTGACAGTATCCGGAATCCAACAATCCGTTCATGTCGCAATCGATGTGCCATCTCTAACACGTTTTATGAGACCCATGTCAAGAGCCTTCTGACCTGCCACAATAGCCTTCCACGTACTAAGATGATCGAGCTGGTGCAGTGGCATTCTGAAAGTCTGAGAGCGAGAAATATTTTTCTTTTAGAACTCTCGAGCAAAGGGTCTTCGGATGGGTAATTAATCTCCAGCCTTGCTTCCCTAGCATAGCTATATTAAATAAGTGAAGATAAGAGAGGGTTAAAGTGCCTCTGTTGTGGGATAGATACTCCATCTGATTCTTTTTAGTTCGTATATAAGATTTGACTGAAGTCAAGACTCATAAAGTTTGACCAACTTTATAGAAAAAAGTATCAACATTTACAATCTAAAATCAATATCAATAGATGTGTCATTACTTGAAGTTTCTTATTGTAGTATAACTTTAGCATGACAGATGTTGATATTTTTTCATATAAATACGGTCAAATTTTATGAAGTTTGATTTCAGAGAATCCTAATATGCAGAGTAAAAAGGAACGGAGGGAGTACATAGTAGATTACCTTCTTCTCCACCCTGAGCGAAATCCTGGCCATTCGCTTCCCGATCGGACGGTGTAGTCTCAGTAATTCGATTGAGACCACGGGTCAATCGAGCCGACACGGATGACCTCTCTTCCTCAGGGCGGCATGGAGAAAACGGCGGCGGCGGTGGCGGTGGCGGCCGAAGAGGAGCCGGAGGAAGCGTGGGCGTGGACCTGGGGCGCGGGCACGGACGGGCAGCTGGGGAACGGCGGCTTCCAGGACTATCATCTCCCGCAGCCGCTCCTCCTCCCGCCTCGCTGCCGCGGCCGCGTTTCCTTCGTCGCCGGCGGCGGCGCCCACGCCATCGCCCTCACAAGTACGTTCGGTCTTCGTTCAGATACCCCACCTCAGTAGGATCTTTCTCGATAGGATTTGGTCAGGCGGGCCTGCTCGTCTTCGTGGTCCTCGTCGTCTAATGATTGCACGGCTCTCACATGGGTAGAAGCTGAACTCGATTAGATACTTAGATTGGCGAGGAGTTTGTGCACGACAATGGGCTTTGGTAACCATAGCATCACAGTTTCAGAGAGTTGGAATTGCATTGCAGGTTTCCTTCTTGTACACGCACCTACTTGCCTGCTTCTAGGTCCCTGTGTCCTATGAATCTTGTCTGGACATCCTCATCTCGTTCCCTTGAGCTGGATTTGCATATACATATTCAGTGCGGACTTATATGATAGACACGCTGCTCGGTAGGAATAGAGTTCCACCGCATGGTTTTAGAACTGCCTCCTTGTCCAACTTGGTAATGCAAGAGAGGATCTTATATTCACAGTTCCATACAGTGATACACCATTGTATCGTTCAGTGACTAAGGGTTGTTTGGTTCTTGCCTATAGCTGCCCTGCCAATATTGGCTTGCCAATTATTTGGCGTGGGATTCCACCGCCCAGGGTTGGCCAAAAATTTGGCAAGAATCTGTGAAGAAAAGAATAGAGGACTCGTTGGCAGCCAAATATTTGGCAACAAAGCAAACAACATATAAGGGATTTGGCGTGACCAATATTTTGGTAGGGTTAGTTAGGGGCATAAACCAAACAGCCCCCCTCTTCAGTTCAGTGATTAAGTTGCTTTTTAGTTCAGGTCCGCTTTCCATCTTGGCGAGTAGGAATGATTAAAGCATTTTGACATGCTGATCTCTCCCTGGGCATTTTACTTGTCAACATACTATGTTTGTTGAAGATAATCTGTTTACCTTGCTGTGCCATTTTTACCAGTGACTCAAGAAAAAACTTGTCTATGCACCAAAGGTCATTTTCCCCTCACTGATGTCTGACTAGACCAATATGGGTTAGTTTTCTGAAAATCTTTACTCAACATTTCAGGTGATGGTGAAGTATTTACTTGGGGCAGAGGTACCCATGGTCAGCTTGGCCATGGGAACATAGAGAACATCCCTCATCCAAAGTCCGTTAAGTTCTTTGAAAACTATACAGTAACCTGTGTGTCTACTGGATGGAACCATTCTGGATTTGCTACAGGTCTCCAAATTCTGAAACCATTCATTTACGTTTTACTTCTATTTTGGTCTTCACGTTTCATGCCAGCCCGTTTCTTATTTTGTTTTGCTTTAGAACGGTTGTCTTATTTTGTTTGGAAAGTGAATTGTCACTGATGAGCTTTGCTGTGATGTTTCTAGTTGTTATTTTCAGATTCTGGGCAACTCTTCATGTGCGGAGATGGCTCATTTGGACAGCTTGGCACTGGTGATACTCAGTCAAGGAACTTGCCATTTGAAGTGCCATCCTTTACCACAAAGCATGTTGAGAAGCTTGCATTTGGGATGCGCCATTCTCTTGTCCTATTGAAAGGTAGGTAAAATTATGACAGACTGTTACAGTGACACATTAATTTATAAGAAACTGCATGTTCATGGGCAGCCCGGTGCATGAAATTGCATGTTCATGGAACAACACAAATTTCTCTGGTAATACCTTTTCCATAACAACTTGATCAGTAATCTTTTTAGTCTCTGGCAACACCCAATATCTATAGCATGGTTTTTGAGTCGCTGATTAGTCGCTGTATAGTTGCCGACTAATCGCCAAGTCGTTTTCTAGAAATCAGGGCGACTCGCGACTATACAGCGACTTGGGTCGACTAATCGCCGAGCCGCAGGGCTGGCGGCGACTTGACTAGTCGCAACTCAAAAACCATGATCTATAGTGACTCATTTATGCCTTCCCTAAGGTTCTGACATCCGCAAGGCAATACTTAATCAATATTCCAGTATTCTGTATTTTGTGCGGAAAACAGGGCGCAACTTGCTGAAAATTATGGAAAGCAAAAAATCTGTAAATGAAGCTACTAAAGAGGAAAAAGGAAAAAAAGTTAGATCATCATGATCTTAGGATCTTTTCACCAGACAGCTGGAAGTTTATTGACCATACCATTTCTCCTTTATAACAGACTTCTTTCTTCCAGATAAATGACACAGTTATCAAATTTGGCCCATGTGCATTACGAGTAAATGACACATTATTCTTATTTCTTCCAGATAATTCAGTTTATGGATTTGGCTCAGCAAGACGGGGACAAGTTGGCAAATCTGCTTCCAAAAATCAGAAGTTTTGTAATACTCCTAGATTAATTGATGGTTTTCCAAACTGCAAAATAGTGAATTTATATGCCAATGGAGATCATAGTGCTGCATTCGATGGTAAGCATTGTAGACCTGCAGTTACCAACTCTTTTCTATTTGATACTTGGCCTAATAATTTCCCTTTCATTGAATATAACAGAATCTGGCCAGTTGTACATCTGGGGAAGAGCATTAGTTGGTGAACATGATGATGACCAACCTCGGGCAGCCTTTCCCTCTTTGAGTATTTCTCAAGTGGCATTAGGATGGCATCATGCACTAGTTTTATCTGGTATGTAGTTGTTTCATATTAATTGAACTATGTTTTCCAGAAGCTTTCTCAGAAGGTTGACATTTTTTTATTTGTCTTAGGAGGTGAATTGTACACCATTGGTGCTTACCGCCATCAGAAATGTGACCCTTCTGTGTCAGAAAATGCAGTAGCGCAGAAACTGAATCTTACCACAACAAGCAGTAAACATCATGGTACTCCTCACAACTTTTGATATGCTACATCATATTTGAATTATGGAACAGAGACATGTATCTTGTATATTCATCTGGTAAATACTGCCAAGCAGTTGAGCATCCTCCAAAACGAGAATATGCCAACCGTTCGCACAAAATGGTACCTTCAGATGGGAAGTCAAATCTATATGACTGCGACAACTTGTCTGCACCCCATGGCAAGAATGCATTCTCTTGATCTCTTCTGTATTTAAAAGAATGAGAAAAAAGACAATCATAGATGTACAGCATATGAACTTGTGAAAATTCATGAGAAAATATGACTGGTGTGAACTGTACAAAAGCGTTTTGCAGATAGTGCACACTGCACGAACGGATGATGAGAAAATACTATCATTATGTATGCTCACACTACATGCCGTTAATACACGCCCCAGCCTATTCTATATCCATTTTAACTTTCCTAGAGTAGATTCATATTTGTTCCATCTGATGACCATGTCGCATTTGCACCTCCCACGCCCTCTGAAAGTATGTGTGTGTTGTGCAGAATCATCTTCAGTGTCAAATTTAGCGAAGGTGCCCTCTATTCATGGACAGCAGGTGACCCAGATAGCAGCCGGCACTGAACATTCAGCTTTGGTGACAGGTAAGAGGTCGTTTTATCCCAGAATCTAAAAATGAATAAGATGAGCAGCGGCCGGGCTAACTGCTGCTCTTCGCATGTTTTTCTCAGACAGCGGAGCATTGTTCACCTGGGGCTGGGGAGAGCACGGGCAACTGGGCTTGGGAGATACTTGTGATCAGGTGGTTCCTCGGAGAGTAAATCTAGGCGACGAGGGCTCACGTTCTTCTGCTTCGCTCAGCGTGTACTGTGGGAGCGGATTTACCGTCGCCGTGAGCCTGCCTTAGTGGCAGATGTACTGTTGTACCACCGTATTTTGGTTATGTCTCCACACAGTATGTCAGAAAGGTGAACACCAGTGTAGATGCTTTCTTGTAATGCTGTTGGAGAGTGAAGGAGGAGCGCAACAGGATTTGCTCCGTGTGTGTATGAATGAACCACTTGTTGTCTAGTATTATAATCCGGCTCGGGGCAGCAATATTGTTGCATCCCGCGATTTGGACTTGTCAACTGGAGTATTAGTGAAAATGGAAGATGGAATAATACAGACACCGTACTGTCCGGTGCCATTCATAATTTCAGAGGACCATATTGTGGATTGGGGATATAAATACTACAGGGTATCAATAGTGATGCATCTGGTTCCTGGAGGAAAAGAAAACAACAGTGGGACGCCATCTTCAAAGTTCAAACCAAGGAAAAGAGGAAGAGATACGCTACATATACAGAGGCTGTGGTCGATAGGTGGGCCGGCTCTTGCGTAAACCGAAGGTCAAATTCCAAGCTGAGTATGGATGTTGGAGGGAAGGTTCCAACAAGTCTTTTGGAGTAGATGGATGGTGTCAGTAGTATATTTGGTGGGGACGGATCCCAAGACCAGGACCGACGTTTGGGATATTCCGGCTGGATGCTCCGCGATCCCGACGTCTACGTACGGCGACGGGAACAGCCATTAGATCGGCCATCATCAATCAATCAAGTCAGGAGGGCTGCCTGACTTGGGATGCTCTTCCATGGGGGAGCATTTGCCTGCCTGCTTGGATATTCCCGGTCTTGCTGAATGTTCCCTATAATATTCCTACTTGGTCTTTCCTTATTCAGCGCAAGGCCACACAAGTCCTAATACTAATGGGGGGCAGTTATATACAAGACTAAAGAGTGATTAAGCCGCCTGACGTGTTTGACCATACGCCATGAAACTGGTTAAAAAAAACATACGCTATGAATCCACTCTCAGCTGCTCCATACTTTAATACTGTATTGTCATGTGAATTTTCCTGCTTTCCCGTGTCTTGTTAGAGAACGTTTGTCTTGCTATTCGATAAATATACGCCTTTCTACGATTGTACCTATTCGCTCCGTTCGGCATTATAAGATATCCTACTTCCTCTGATCCATATTACTTGCCTCAACTTTAATAAATGTTTACTAAAGCACTAAAGCTACGACAAGTAATATGATCCGGTTTCGCGTAACTCTGGATGCTCTTCCATTCCATGGGGAGCAGAGCATTTGGCTGCTCGGATATTCCCACCCGGCCTAGCTGAATGTTCACTGTAATATTCCTACTTGGGTCTTTCCTTATTCAGTTCAAGGTCTGTCTGACACACTTAATACTAATGGGAAACAGTTATACTTCATCTGTCTCACATATTATTTTAAGTGTAATAACATCTTATATATGAATGGAGGGAGTAGAAGACTAAAGAGGTGCTAAGCTGCCTGACGTGTTTGTCCTGCTCTTCGTTACTCTAAATAATACTCTATTGTGAATGTCCTGCTTTCCTGTGTCTCCTTAGAGAATGTTTGTCTTGCTCTTCTATAAATATAGGGATTTTGCTCTCTACGAAGATGCCATATACTACGAGTCAAATTCGACCCCGAGAATCAAGGGCTTGTGCAAACTGTACACTTAGGCTCTGATATAGGTTGACTCAGTCAATTGTGGTAATTCTGTTAATCTTTTCAGGTTTGCCTACTCTATTGTTTTTGCAAGAAATTTCCAATCTATTCGTCAATCATGACAGTACAAAAAACGCTAGAGGTAATAAAAACTACAATCAGGTCCATGGATCACCTAGCGACGACTACAAGCACTGGAGCGAGCCGAAGGCGCGCTGCCGTCATCGCCCTCCATCACCAGAGCCGGGCAAACCTTGTAGTAGTAGACAGTCGGGAAGTCGTCATGCTAAGGTCCCAAAGGACTAGCGCACCAGATCGAAAAGTTCAAACCAGTAACCACAAGAACGAAGTCGAACAAAAGCTGGATCTAAATAGATCCACTGAAGACCAACACTGAACGAATCCCGTGAGATTCGACGGAGACACACCTGCACACATCCTCCTCCGACGCTATTTTTTATTCCTACTGAGGGACATCGCCACCGCCACACAACCCCAACCAAGCCGTTGAACCTACCAAAAACAAGAACTGGTCCCTCCCGCCGACTCTATTGTTGGTTGGCGATTTTTAATACGTATCAACTAGGTTATGCCCAACGAAGTTTTTCCTTCACTAACCTTAGGTGGCTAGGGCAAACTATTCTCTCCGAAGTTCGCCGGCGAGCCCATGGATTCGCCTCCCCTCTGCCTGTGGCTCCGGCGGCCGGTGGCGGAGTGGGGAATTCCGGTGCCTCTACTCCGGCTAGTAGTTTAGATTAGGATTTTTTTAGTCCTCGCAGGGGCGGTGCTCGAGCAGATGACAACGCTACTTCTTTGAGTTTATCTTCCGGACTCTGATCCTCCTCGAGTACGTATGTCTGTACGTAGTCGATGGAGCTCCGGCGTAATTCCTAGCGTCTCTTTGGGGCGGTGAGGTTAGTGTTTCTCATCATGTGGACATATTTGGTGTAAGGTGCTTCAGATCTATGTAAGGATTCAACGGCGACGACTGCGTCTCTAGGGCGGTGGTCTTTAGGGGCACGTGCACGAAGACTTTTTGGCTGCCATCGACAAGGTAAGCCTACTCCGGTGGGGGAGCGGCGACAGCGGCGCGTTGGCGGCTCGTTCTGGCGGCAATAGTGGTTGTTTGGGAGTCTTGGAATCTCAATGCAATTTTTATTATGTTCGAGATGCTTTCCACTTTCGCGGAACTTTGATAATAGATCTAGATCATTTTCGCAAAACGAAACTAGGTTATTCCAAATTGAATTTAAATTATCTATATTCATCATGACTAAAGAGTGTCATGCCTATTTGATTATCTGATATACATCATGGTATATTCATTTTAAATTTGGTGTCAAAACACGACTAAGCGTGTCATGCACACAAAAAAGGGCAACTCAACACAATTTGAGAACTGGACTCTTTTTTACATAATTTGTGAACTGGACTTTGTCTATAACACTTGGATTGTGATATTTGGCACATGTGCGCCATATAAGTAAAACTGTCACACCTCTATTTCTTTCACTTTAAAGTACCAAATGATCCCTCTTCCTTCAACCCCGCCTTCTCCCGAACGACCCTGCAGGCTTGCCCGAAAAACCTGCTTCTCCCGCACATCTCGCGCGCCCATCCCTGAGAAAACTGCCACTTATTCACGTCTACCACATGATAGAAAAAATATTGCACATGTGGGATTCAAACCCACACCTCCTTGGCACCAAAGCGCACCACCACAACAACCCCACCCTTAGGTATTTGTTGCTCAAACTAAAGAAACTAATCGTTTTGATCCCTTTTTTTATAATTGTGTTACTACAAAAAAGTACAGAAAATTACCACGATTTTCCTTCAGGACAAAGTTACCATGGTATTCGCACGCAAGTTATCAGGCCTGTGTTGCGTAAGTCGCCACCACAACTACATTGCTCAAAGCATCGAAAAGCACATTAGAAGCTTGAGCATTGAGATAAGAGTTTTTCTCATCCTCTAAAGATAATCTTTGAGGATCCTTTGGAGGAGAAAAACCAATATCTACAATTCGCTCTAAATTTGGGTCCATGACCCTAAAGAGATTAAGCATGCGAATTACCCAAACATTAAAATTTGTGCCATCGAAACTAAGAGTGTGAGAGAATCCTAATCCCCTAGTCGACATCTTTACTCTCTAGGCGTTTAAGCCTAACAAAGAGAGACGAGGCTCTGATACCAATTGAAAGATCGTGGATGTCACCTAGAGGGGGGGTGAATAGGCGTTTTAAAATAATTACGATTTAGGCTTGAACAAATGCGGAATAAACCTAGAAGTTAATTTGTCAAGCACAAAACCTAAAACAATTAGGCTCACCTATGTGCACCAACAACTTATGCTAAGCAAGATAAGCAACTATGTGATAGCAAGATATATGACAAGGAACAATACGGCTATCACAAAGTAAAGTGCATAAGTAAAGAGCTCGGGTAAGAGATAACCGAGGCACGCGGAGACGACGATGTATCCCGAAGCTCACACCCTTGCGGATGCTAATCTCCGTTTGGAGCGGTGTGGAGGCACAATGCTCCCCAAGAAGCCACTAGGGCCACCGTAATCTCCTCACGCCCTCGAACAATGCAAGATGCCGTGATTCCACTAAGGGACCCTTGAGGGCGGTCACCGAACCCTTACAAATGGCAACCCTTGGGGGCGGTCACCGAACCCGTACACTTTGGCAACCCTTGGGGGCGGTCACCGGTACCCGTCAAATTGCTCGGGGCGATCTCCACAACCTAATTGGAGACCCCGACGCTTGCCCGAAGCTTTACACCACAATGATTGAGCTCCGAACAACACCAACCGTCTAGGGCGCCAAGGCACCCAAGAGGAACAAGCTCTAGGGTGCCCAAACACCCAAGAGTAATAAGCTTCTCAAACTTCACTTCCACATATCACCGTGGAGAACTCAAACTGATGCACCAAATGCAATGGCAAGGGGGCACACGGAGTGCCCAAGTCCTTCTCTCTCAAATCCCACTGGAGCAACTAATGCTAGGGAGGAAAATGAGAGGAAGAACAAGAAGGAGAACACCAAGAACTCCAAGATCTAGATCCAAGGGGTTCCCCTCACATAGAGGAGAAAGTGATTGGTGGAAATATGGATCTAGATCTCCTCTCTCTTTTCCCTCAAAAACTAGCAAGAATCCATGGAGGGATTAAGAGTTAGCAAGCTCAAAGAAGGTCAACAATGGGGACAAAAATGAGCTCAAGAGATAAGGTTCATTGGGGAAGAAGACCCCCTTTTATAGGTGGGGAAAAATCCAACCGTTATGCTCACAGCCCGCACAGAGCGGTACTACCGCTCCAAGGAGCGGTACTACCGCTAGGGCGGAAGTACCCCTTTGAAAAACAACAGCGAGGAGGCAA